AGAGAGGGAGACGAGAGAAGAGAGAGACAGAAGATAGGGAGAGAAGAGCGAGACTGAGAGAAGAGACGAGAAGAAGGGAGAAGAGGAGAAGAAGAGGAGAGAGAGAGAGGAAGAGAAGATGAGAGAGAGAGAGAGAAGAGAAGAGAGAGAGGGGAGAAAGAAAAGAGAAGAGGGAGAGAGGAGAAGGGAGAGGGAGGAGAGAGGGAGAGAGGGAGAGAGGGATAGAGAGAAAGGATAGAGGATAGAGGGAGGAGGGAGGGAGGGAGGAGGGAGGAGGGAGGAGAGGAGGGAGGAGGGAGAGGGAGGGGAGCGGGAGGGAGAGGGAGAGGAGAAGAGAGAGAGAGAGAGAGAAGAGAGAAGAGAGAGAGAAGAGAAGAGAGAGAGAGAGAGAGGAGAGAGAGAGAGGACGAGAGTGAGAGAGTGAGAGAGTGAGATGAGAAAGTGAGAGAGTGAGAGTGAGAGTGAGTGAGAGTGAGAGTGAGAGAGATAGAGAGATAGGAGAGAGAGAGAGAAGAGAGAGAGAGAGAGAGAGAGAGAGAGAGAGAGAGAGAAGAGAGAGAGAGAGAGAGGAGAGAGGAGAGAGAGAGAGAGAGAAGTAAAAGGAGGAGGAGAAGGAGAAGAAGGAGAAGAAGGAGAAGAAAAAGAAGAAGGAGAAGAAAAAGAAGAAGAGTGCAAGGGAGGCAGGATGATAAACAGTAATTCCTTTTGCAGTTTAATACTGATCATATCAAAATAAAAAAATATATAAATCCTTTCATTATAAGCAATATAGTATTATCTCTGAACTTTTCATTACATTTTCTCTATTAGGTTTAATCATCCAATTCCAGTTCCTCCTGTTCAGTACAGCGAAAATAACAGTAATATCAATAGATTTTATTGAGAAAAATCAGAATTTTTATATGATAATGAATATACAATATATCTACACTACATCCATACGGAGTATAGTGCTTGGTACAAAGATATTTTTTTATCCCAACTAAATTTGGTATATTGTAATTCTTTATAGTATGAATGCACTCGCCAGAGACTAGGTCCCAAACTCCACATCCAAAAACATATTCATCAATCTAAGTTGCTGTGACTGGGCAAACTGCCCGAGGAGAGGGTTGTTTTCACTTTGTATGCACAGCAAGATATACTTGCAGCTCAGGAGCACCGAATGGACTAAGGCTAAGAGCGGTGCTTTCCATGACCCTTTCCATTTATTTTGGCATTACTGTTCGTGTCTGCAGATTATTTCTTGTGCTCTGCAAGAATATCTTATTTAGTGTGTCCATACCTTAAAGATTAACCAAATCTTTTATTGCCTTCACAATCATAATCATAATTTACATCAACAAATTATATTTATATTTATCTGCCATCTCACTTAAAATTATTGTCTTTTTTAACTAGTGTCTGTATATGCACTCTTAATTTAATTATTAACCATTAACATCATCAACATCACTATTCGCTTATCCCCTATACTTTGAGAAACCCAGGACTAGTATGAAAGCACTTTCACCAGTACTCATAAACCAATTAATATCACCATGTTCTTTATAACTCAAGAATGTCAAGACATACTCTCATGTATCATCATCATCATCATGGGGGCTGACGCCGACGGGGGCGCATAGCCGCATCCACCCTTCGCTTCCACCTACGAGGATCCCTCATGGCTAGACGCCAGGCAGGGACTCGGCCCATCTCTAGTTCTTCACGGCAGGTTTGGTCGATCTGCCCAAGCCATGACTTCCTCGGTCGTCCCACAGGCCTCCTCCACCCAGGGTTGTCTCGAATAGAGACGACCTGATGGGCAGGATCATCCTGAGGAAAGCGAGCCAGGTGGCCGTATAGCCTGAGTTGGCGATCACGGATTGTGCAGATAACAGGCTTGTGCCAGTCTCACGGTGCAACCGTTGGTTGGACACATGGTCCCGCCAACAGTACCCCATGATCTGGCGCAAGGACCTATTACAAAAGGCTTCAAGACGAGCCTCCAAGGCACAGGACAATGTCCAGGTTTCGCTACCGTATAGCAAAACTGGCATTATCAGGGCCTTGAAAACCCGTAGCTTGGTCCTTCTGCACAGGTACCGACATCTCCAAATACTCTTGTTGAGAGAGTTCATGACCCCTGCTGCCAGGCCAATCCGTCTGCTGACTTCATGGTCTGACAGCCCAGAGTTATGAACTACACTACCAAGGTATGTAAAGCTCTCTGTGACTTCAATGTCCTCGCCGCAAGCACGTACCGACTGAACAGGTTCTCCTAACAAGTCCCCAAATTCCTGGACCTTGGTCTTGGTCCAGGAGACCTCTAGACCCAGGGGCTTCGCTTCATTGCTAAATGCATCGAGAGCCGCCACTAGGGTTTCCAAAGACTCAGATAGAATGGCAACGTCATCAGCAAAGTCAAGGTCTGTAACCTTGATATTGCCCAGCGTTGCCCCACAATGACTTTGAACAGTAGCTCTGCCCAGTATCCAGTCCATGCAAGTGTTGAAAAGAGTTGGTGCAAGGACACAGCCTTGCCTCACTCCTGAACTAACAGGAAAGAAGCTCGACAGGCCCCCACCACACTTTACAGCACTTTCAGTACCAGTATACAGGCTTGCTATTAGTCCAATAATCCTTGTTGGTATTCCTCTCAGCCTCAGGATCTCCCAAAGTGACTCCCGATGCACCGTATCGAACGCCTTCTTGAGGTCGATGTAGGCTGCAAGCAGCCCACGCCCGAACTCACGACGGCGCTCTACAATGACTCGAAGCGCGAGGATACGGTCTATTGTGGACTTACCAGGAGTGAATCCGGATTGCTCCAGTCTCTGGTGCCTCAGTAGATGGTCTCTGATACGTCTCAGAAGGATGTGGGCGAGAACCTTGCCTGGTACACTGAGCAGTGTGATGCCTCGGTGATTGCTGCAGTCCCAACGGTCCCCCTTCCCCTTCCAGAGAGGGATGACCACACCCCTCAACAGGTCAGGAGGAACGGAACCGGACTGCCAGATGGCAGCCAGGACAGCATGTAACCCCGTGCCATAGGTTCACCACCAGCCTTTAACAGTTCAGCTGGTATGCCGCAGATACCAGCTGCTTTACCACTCTTCAGCTTGGAAATCGCCCCCCTAACTTCAGTTAGGGAGGGAGGGTCCTCACTGATAGGTGGATCCGGCAGCGGGATCTCGACACTACCCGCATCCAAGTTAACTGTTGGTGGGTCAACCTGGTACAGCTGCTCAAAATACTCAGCCCAACGTCCCCGCACCGCAACAGGATCTGAAACGATCTGACCACTTACTGAGCGAACTGCTGTCACCTGTGAAGAGGGCTTGGAGTTCAGCTTTCTCAGGGCTTGGTATGCAGGACGAAGGTCATTTACTAAGAAATGGCCTTCTACCTCCTCTGCAAGACTCCTAATAAACTGTTCCTTGTCCCTTCTTAACAGGGACCGAGTTCTGCGCACATGAGAACGGTGCAATTCCCGATCCCCTGTCAGACGAGCCGCACGACATGCATCTGTGGCTTCCAGTGTCTCCTGCGAGATGGAATTCTGTACTGCTCTCGGGCGTACACCAATCGTATCTTGAGCTGCATCAAGCGTTTCACGCTTAAAGGTATCCCACAGAAGAACAGGGTCTGTCAGACTGCCAAGCACTGCGAAACGATCAGAGATTGCCTCAGCAAACCCGCGGGCACACTCCCCCTCCCTCAGCCTGTCCAAATGAAACACCCTAGGGTGATCATTTGACCGCTGGGGGTTTTGAAGTGGACCCGGAGGGTAGCCACAACCAATCTATGGTCAGTACCACAGAACTCAGCACTCCTGTACACCCTGCAATTCTGAAGGATCCTCCAACGAGTGCTAACAAGTATGTGGTCGATCTCCTTGGCTGCGTTACCCGCATCACTGTACCATGTCCAGCGATGTGGGTCTGGGCGCTGGTACCAGGAGCCAGAAATCCTCAATTTCTGGGACCTAGCAAAGTCCCGGAAAAGGAGGCTATTCTCGCTACCGGCATCAGCTCCATGTATGAAATAAAATAAAGCTTACTTCCTTATATCATAATAATTTCTTCTATATAAAAATTGCTGTCTTTGAGCCTACACTTCACTACTAAAATAAAATATGTTGTGTATATACAGTATGCTAACTCCCTATGCATCATCTTATAATTTTGTAATTCAGAATGGAATTAAAACATGTAAGGAAAACTCTCCTCTCATGAACATAAAGCTAAATTTCTTTTAGCTATAGTCTTAAATAAATCTGTTTAGTAGAACAACTCTGTATCATCAGTCTTAGGTATTATATTAACTAAATATTAAAACATAGTTATCTGGAAATAAAACAATATTTGTACTTGGTTTAGGTTTATAATTCACCTAGTGCCAATGGAAAAATTATAAAGTACACCCAAGAGAAGTTTTAATCAAAAGTTGTTCTGCCTCTAAACAGGTAAGGTTTTCTTTCTCCATAACAATTCTGATAAGCAATGTTGGGGCCAACACCTTCCAGATGTACTTATTGACACTACTTTTTCCATAGAGTCTTTGGATATGTGAGGAGAATTGTTCAATTAAGAAATCAATTATGTACAGTATTTGATCTTCGGAATAAGGATGGTAGATCAGTTCACTTGTCATTTCCCGCAGTTCCCTCCCGCCCCGCAAAAAAAACATTGTGCCTTTTATTAGATTCCTGGCCTTCTATCACCCTCCTCAAGAATGGAAATAAAGCTTTGGTCTGTTTCTCTATATCTTCAATTGCCATTGTTGAGAGTTTATTGCAAACATTTGAACTGTTCTTTGGTACCAAAGAAGCACTGGTTTCTTCCTCTTTGAGAACCAAGTGTCCCCCTACTAATGAGGACTGAGGACTTTTGGATGGAGTGCAACTATGTGATGAGAGGGTTGCTGATCTTTTTGATGGTTTCCTTCTGACAAAAGTTTGCTTTAACTGAACACTTGCTCTCGTTCCTCTCTTCCTTTGCTTTGGTGAAGGAAAGTCCTGCTTGTAATGTATTACTTGTAGTTTTCCATCCTCTGTTCTATTAACTTCCACCCTCTCAAAATTCCAAAACTCCAGTGGTTTTAGTCTTACCCTACCACTGTGCTTGCTCACATCAACCTCAGTCAAAACAGTTTTTTGAGGAACTGCCAAAGCATTCGGCTTCCTTTTTGATAACATTTCAGAAGGCACCTTCTTCCCTTTATCATGACCTGCCTGGGTCTCTACAGGGTCTCTCTACTTGTTTTCTTTTCTTAAATAAATTTCTTGCCTCCATCTTTGGTTTATCTGAATGTAGGTTATGCGTAATTTTTCTGAATTCAAGTCACAAAACTGAAACGACAGAGCTTGACAGGCTGATTCCAGGACTTCAACAGCAACCTAACTCCAAGCTTGGTGCCACTGAGAGAACCTGAAAAGGCATATATAAAATCTTACAAGGCAACATTTTATTCTCTCCCCTTCCACAATAAAATATCAATGTCTAGCTCACTCTCTGGGGGATAAGAATATTTACAAATAATAAGATTATCCTTAATTCTTTAAGGCAAGACTAAAACCTATACTTAGAACATAAATTACATTTAGGAGAGTCACCTGTATAAAGCTGTAATTAACTTTGGCAAAGACCAACAAACCTGCACTATGTACATCCTGGCAAGATACCTAATGTCACCCTACCTTTTTAAATAAGAAACCAATTTAAACTTTCATCTTGGAGATTGGATGACCTCTGGTAATTCACAATTTACAAAGCAGAGGGCAAAATGATGCTTCACACAGTCATACTCTAATCACTTACTTTAAAAATCCTTGGCAATCACAAAACTTTAATTAATGAAACCCCCACAGGCTCTTGCATTTCTAATAACCTCACGATTTCACCTTTTACCCTCGAGATTACGGTTTTCACATTTGAAGGGCTTAATTATATAAAGCAGTATATGAACCATAGTCATGTTGACAAATGTGGAATGGTATGAATGAGAACGAATATCTTCACAATACAAGAGATGTATTTTACCGGTTTCGATTATATCTGCGTCAGAAATACATGAACATGTATTCCTGATGAAGATTTAATCGAAACCGGTAAAATACATTTCATGTATTGTGAATATATTCGTTCTCATTCATTCCTTTCCAAAAAGCAGTATATGTAAGATGGTATTTCAAATAGTTATGGAACAATATAGTATCAAAAGTGAAAAAATTATCTATTGTTATTATTTTTGCATAGCAAAAATAATAACGATAATGACCACAGACTGAGTGGGATGAGAAGCCACCCTGAAACATGGGAGAAGCGATAGTGGGGTAGAAGGATGTTCAGCTAAATAGCAGGGAATAGCTCTCAGGCCCTAGAGGTGGAGAAAAGTTGCTAAACAGTATCAGATATACTGCTTTGTCCCATTCACACCAAATTCATCATCATCATTGCGGAGCTAACGCCGACAGGGGCGCATAGCCGCATCCACCCTTTGCTTGTACCTGCGAGGATCCCTCAAGGAAAGTCGCCAGGCAGGGACTCGGCCCATCTCAAATTCCTCATGACAGGTTTGATCGATCTGCCCAAGCCACGACTTCCTAGGTCGACCCACAGGCCTCCTCCACCCAGGACTGTCTCGGCAAGGCCCACCTCCCCCGAGCCTCCCATTAACCCCAGGGGGTCTAGGGGCAGGAGTTGGTACAGGGCCAGGGCGTGTCCACAAGCCGGTGGGCCATGACCCTGAACCTCTGGGGCCTCCTGCTGCTCCGAGATCCCCCTCAGTTTAGCCTGGAACCGCAAGGCACCCAGTTTCCATGGGAGGCCACGAGGAGGCACTGCAGGGAGTCTCGATGATGGAGAGGCTATGAACTGGCAGGGGAGGCTTATGCAGTGCTGCTCCCTTTTTCGCACTAGGCTAGCCAGCGGTGGCAGCTGTAAGCGAAAAGGCATGCAAGCTCTTAACACTACCTAGACTACCACACCATCGCTTCACACCACCCTGCGCGTGAAGCACCTACACCAAATTAGAGATTGGAAAACAGCAGACCAACTTTTACCAAATTAATAATGAGTACTATAGTAACTGGTATCAATTCACAATTGTAATTAACTGCATCCTACATATTATTCCTGTGCATCTTAATGGAAGGACTTTTGGTTTTAATAAAGTGAGCAAATTAATACTGTGCATTTTTTAAGACTACAAAAAATAATGAGCAGCACAAAACCTTTTCACTTCTCTGAATTTGTGAATAGCTTTCTCATAAAGAGAAGATAAACAATAAACACAATTTCATTTGTTTTCTTTTTCTTTCTTTGAAATCAAAGTTTCACAGGCCTATATCAGAGAGAAAAAAAAGTGGGGCAGATCTCTCTCTAAATCAAAGACCCATAGAATTTTCAGTGTAACATGATTTTCACCTAAAATCTCTGAAGAACTATGCTTGCCTACAAAATATCTCGGCACAATTTCCTAAAAGCAACATAATTATATTTCGCGATCTCCGTCGGATAAAAATAAAAAGGGTCGAAGAGCAGAAATCCCTCTTTTCAAATAACAAAAAATAACAATAGAGGGGAATGATTCCCACAAGTTAACCCGCTGGGCTATAGCTTGGGACATTAACTGCATCAAAATATAGAAAAACACACAAAAATATACCTCAAGTGTGTAAAATTCTCTTTTTTCTTTCCGAGACTCGGAGATCCGAAACACGTCCAGGGACCAACTCAACGACCCGCGTCTTTAGCAGGAATAGTCTGTTTGCATACATCTTTCTGCATTTGTAGCCTCTATCATTCCTTACTCATATATTTCACTTGTGATATAGACTTCCATGAGGTTCAATCCGTGTATCATAGGTTATGATCATCATTTAAATTTTTTTTTATTAAGAAGACGTATGAAATAGACTCCTATCCTTGTTTCTATATGGGACATGCTCACTGGGTATCACGCATTTATCTGTTTATATGACTAAAAGCAAGCAGCACCCATCATATTTTCTAGAGACATGTCATTATTATGGATTTCAATAAAAGGAATAATGTGTACTGTAAAGATTTGTTCACCTTGTTATTATTAGATGGAACATGGAATGATGGAAGGCGATGATAGCAGACGACACTGATTTTGGTCAAACCTTTCAGACAAATGAATTATTCAAATTATTATAGTTTTTTATATCTAATATCATGTTAAGTCATTTACATGGCTATAAACACAATATAGGTGTAATGTTTACCTTTGATCCATAGTTTTTTTGGTTTATGTTAGCAGCAGACGACACCTATTTTCCTTTAGATTTACTAGTGAACAAAAAACATATAGAAATTAATTATTAGATACTATATATTACTAAATCCTTTTGAATGGCAGTGGTTTGGATGCAAGGACATTTTTCTTTTTGTCATATCCGGTCTGCTGGCAGACGTTGACAGCAGACGATCGGAGCCACGAATGTCAACAAACCGATGTCATAGTGAACAGACGCTCTCCCATTTTTCCCTTTTTCGACTCCAAAGATGACTCGGAACGCACTCTTATCGCTGTGGATGATAGTGGGTGTGGCAGCGGGAGGCGTGGTGGGTGAGGTGGAGGAAGAAATAGGCGTAGGAGCCGAGAGATATAAAATAGAAGGGCGAGTTGTGAGGCCCGAGTCTTCTTTGGTGAGCCCTGCAGAATGGTTCGCTTCCACCAAGGTCTTTACTAATAGTGGGCATTTTGGCTTTTTGAGGTAAGTTTTTAAAATGTGAACTGACTTTTATATGTGGATTTGTAAGTTCTCTGTATGATCACGAGAAGATATTCTCAGAGATATCAAGGACCTCTGAGTCACGTGATGATGAGATGATGCAATATTGAAGATTATTTTGACTCTCTTACTACTTCTGGTAGTCAACGTATGGAGGTGCACTTTGTATTTGTTTAGTATGGAATTCGTTTATTAGATATGTACATACAGCATATTGATCCATTTTTTTCCTGCAAAGAAGAACAAAAAAAAATGTAAGCCTTTTTGCCAGAACAGAAGCCTTCTAAAGATTCTAAGAAGCTAATGTTAACTAAAGTATACACTGGAGAGTGAGGAAAGTGCTCCTGTGTCTGAGAACTAGACTATAAACCATGAACTGAAGCATGAGCAAGATGGCTCTATGAATATTGTCTTGCATGGCTCGTATAGGTTTGCTTGAGCTTTTGCATAGATTGATTGAATGTAGAATTGGAAATATGTATATATATACTGTACTAGTATCAAAAGGTTTAGGCATAGATAAATGATTTGGTTATTTTTTTTCAATTATGACAATCAGGACTTCCCAGACATTTTTTATATCATCAGATTTATTCTCGTGTGACGAGAATAAATCTGAAGATCATTTCCGTAGCAATCACAGCCGATGATCTTGATAATAAATAAAGGAGATACACTACAGATAAGAGAGAAGATCAACCCATTTTTTTTTCTTTGCCATATTTGTATCATAAATATTTACAGTACTATTACCACTTAACTCATTCCTAGTTCATGTATTACTATGCGCTTGTGAAGACAATTATTTTGTAAATTTCATTGTCTGACTTTTTCGAATTCATGTATGCTATGCATTCTTGTATTTTTGATATTTTAATAAACTTGTCATACGTGTTTTGATAGTTTTATGCTATTCTTTACAAAAACCTGATGTGCATTTGCACAAAGTAAATAGTATAAAAAAGATGAGTAGATGACACATAAGATGTACAAGTATAGGTTATTTGAATTAAAAAAAAAAAAAAAGCTACATTAGAGGAGAAGAAGAAAAGGCTGCATGGGTATGAATGCCGCCTTGATAAGCATCAGTTGCTTTCCAAAAAAAAAAAAAAAAAAAAAAAAAAAGGACTTAGGTGATTTTCTAGAGCATTTTTTCCCCCTGGTGAAGGCTTTTTCGATGAATTGGGTCACCATTGTTATGGAAAAGCAGTAGTGAACCGATTTACCTTCCTTTCACCTGTGTGGAAATTAATGATAGCATGCTTTTTATATAGAATTTGTTATAAGTCAGATTGAGTATTTAGTTCATATAGATTAGACACTGCTTTTACGTTTTCTTTTCTTTTCTCCCTTTTTCTTTCCTTATATATTTTCTTTTCTTTGCTTTCACTCTACTTTTTAGAAATCTTACCGCAACTGCAGAATTTCAGTGTGTATTCATTTATTGGCCCTCGGGCTTCTATAAATAATTTATCCATGAATGTGTAGAATAATTGAGTAAGAGAGATATAATACATCCTATAGTTTTCTTAGAATAGTGCTCAAAGTACATAACTCACTTTGCTATTACAGGGAGGATGGGTCCTTTGTGATCAACAATGTCCCATCGGGGTCGTATGTCGTCCAGGTGATGAATCCCACCTTCATATACGAGCCACTGCGTGTTGACATCAACTCAAAGGGGAAAATAAGAGCTAGGGCTGTGAATCACATCCAGCCATCCAATGTTGTGCAGGTAAGAGCCAGAGACTGCTATACAATCCTCTTCCTGTTTTAAGTTGTTTTGATGCTTCGTAGTTCATGTCAGTAGTGTTTTTTTTTATTTGTGTTCATCAGCCTATTACAGCTTGAGAAAAAAACATATCTTTTATTCACTCTCAAAAATATTGTAGTTACTGAAGCAAGAATTCTATTCCATGTGATATGCTTTTAATTATGTGTTTGTGAAAAAGCAGCGTATTCTATGAATAGTCTTTCCATATACTTATTTATTTTTATTAAGAATTTTTTTTCATGAATATATCATGGATAACAGTGAAAATGAAAAATTTAGAATGTCAATTTTTATGTTAGATTGTAATTAAAATATATGAAGTTATGATGATAATATCCTTTGGGTTTATAAAGTGTTCATTGGCAGATTGTTTCCTCAAAAAATCACACAGACTTTGAGCAAGGTCTGTTTAAATCCCTAGGAATATTTTCAACAACTTAGCCTTAATGTTTGCATTTTTCCTTTCCTTATTATATGGTATGCATTTTTAAAAATATTTCACTTCCAAGATCCTCAAAAGGACATATACGTTTCAAAAATAGAAACAAGGCTCAGTGTACTGCAAACATCAACATATTACAAACGAATGTAGCTTAATTTCTCCCTTTATATTTGACTATTTCATATTTAAATATATATTACCTGGTGTCAATGAGCCTCAGTTGTACTTGCAAATTCTGAATCACTAATTATAAATCACTATCTGCAATAGATGCCACATCCTCTGAGAATGAAGTCCTTGGGACCCTACCGCTACTTCCTTGAGCGTGAGCAACTACGCATAACGGACTTCCTCATGAACCCTATGGTATTGATGACTGTCCTCCCACTTGCCCTCATGATGATTCTGCCAAGACTCAACGACCCTGAGACCCGCAAGGAGATGGAACAGATGCAAATGCCCAAGATGGACACTCCAGAACTTTCAGAGATCATGACATCCCTCTTTGGCGGAGGAAGCACAAGCCACAACCAGGGGGCACAGCAGAAGACCAGATCACGCCCAAATAAACGGAAGGAAAAATTAACCTAATGAATCACTATTTTTATCAGCAAAGCAAATTATGTACCCTGTGTGTAAAGAACTATTTATACTGACTATCGTATAAGGGATGTGTATCATTTGTCTGTTGACGTGTTGCCTTCTGAGATTGTTTCTTTAGCAAATGTTCTTTTATAGGAAAGAAAAATTAATGTGTGCAAGGAAGTGCAACTGCAGTGAAGTGAGCATTGTCACAAAAAAGTTTAATCTAAGGGGCAACAGGAGCAAATACCACATAAGGTGTGAGTGGAAGAATTAAACTTTATCTATGTGTATGTATGTGGGAAAGCTATAAAATGAAATAAAAATAAATATTGGAACCAGTCTTTACATTTTAAAGATGAGAAAGCAAATAAACATGTTTTAGCAACTTTGTTGATAATAGATTTAACATTCTTTTCTTTCTGGGTTATACTAGACCTTTTGAATTCAAATTGAGTTACAGAACTCGGTTTGTGTTTGATGATCCTCTCCCCCCGGACATACACTCTTGTTCAACTTTCCAAAGCATTCAAGTGCAAATATTAATCTTTTCTTGATGCTGTATATGTGCTTAGTTATAAATATTTGATAATAAAAGTGCCTACTTCTTTTCTAGTTAGTTTCTTCCCAGTGACAGAAGGCAGTTTATCATCAGTAATAGCTTGCATTATATGGCTGAACATTAATACTACTAAATTCTGACACTGAAAGTATGTATAGAGAATGTAGTTTGTTAGTGCAGGTATTTACAAGTGAAATTGTCAGATAGTTCACTTTACGGAAGAAAAAAGCTGAATGATGTAAAACAGAAAAAAAGAATCTTTTTATCAATGTATTTAATTATAGAAGTGCATCAGGCTTACAGTGTATGGGTAATGCATAAATATAAGGCATACTTTATCCTTTTTTCATGAACCTCTTCATCAAACCACAATATACTGATGCATTTACGATATATTTTTTAGCTTCTGTCTTTCATATACACTTTTGCTACATGGCATTGGAAATCCTATTTTGCATTGAAGATCAAACTAAGAAATTTGAACATCACCTGTAGTAAGCCATCACAAATTCTGTGAAAGGGTTCCTGTTCTTTACCACTTATTGTACTTTCTGTGATGTTGTTGGTAACAGTTGAAAAGGTAGTAATGTACTGAAAATTATTCCAGTTATTGTTTGTAATATACTGCAGAATACTATAGCCACAATGAATCTTAGACCAGTAAATGTAATAGTTGAACATTTCCCATCAACCATTAGAAGAAAGTGGAGAGAAAAAGAAATATGCAACTTCAGTTTATTTTTATTGAAATTAATCACCTACAGTAGCATGGATAAATAGTAATGTAACAGTGACATGAAAGAGAATGATTATGCCACTCATTTTGGCCTTTTTTTTTACCATTATGAATAATGTTAAACAGATTTTTTAATGATTTTTAGCATTTTTTTCATTGCCAAATCTCATGTCACTATGTTCAACTGTTCATAGATGGTTATTACTTTCTGCATATCAATTGATTTGACCATTAATAAAAATAGATATAAAAAGATGGTTTCTTTGATTCATACCTCGTTCAAAACTAAAGTGGTTTATATGGAAGTACAAAAGTAGTACAATTTTTCTTACCTGTTAACTTTAGTACTTCAGTGATAGTAATTTAATATCAGCTTTTCATTGACCACCCTGTGAAGTATGTCCAGAACATTAAAACAATAATAATGTTTCTCCATTGCTTTCTTCTTTGTTAAATCTTAAAAAATCCTATAGAATATTTTAACTGATTGGGTGTGACTGGAATGCTGGGTGTACACAAACACTCATGTGTGATGTTAAGACTCCTTGCCTCTCCTCTGCAATGTTGTTATCTCTTTTTCTGCATGTGTGTTTTGTTTTGTAATTTGCCATTTTCCAAGGTTAGTATTGGTTATTTGATATACTGTATCAAGATGATAACTTTTCTGCAATATTCAATAATAATAAGCAACATTTTGTTATTTGTGTATTTTTTTTATATTTTCATATATTTGGTTTTCTGTAATACACCCTGACCCACAGTCACAGGCAGAAATAGGATCCCAAGCACGAAAATAGTATCCTCCCTGTAGCCAGCATTCAGTCAGTCATGGCTCACATATGGTACATGCCACACTGGTTTACTGTTGGAAATAAATACAAGAGTCCCTTCTAAATGCCCACCAAGTATAATGACTGTCCAAGAGCCTTGTAATCTTGTAATAAGTCATTCCCGTCACCCCTGCTTTAAGCAAAATTCTTTTGATGGCATATTATGCTAGATTAAGCTAGCATACATCTTCAAATACTTATCTGCTCACAGAGGTTATTAAATGATCTTTTCCACTGAATTATAACATTTATTACAAGTAATAACATAAAGCCTTGACTTCAAAAAAATTATCTTCAATAACCACTCACTTGAGGGAATTTATAATATATAACAATATTTGTAGTCCAGTACAGGCCTCCACAAGAATATTTTCACTGGTCTGAAATTAAACCTAGCTATAAATAATCCCTAACATAAACTTACTCTAAAGCACTATCAATTTTTTACTCTAAAGAGTTTCAAGGAAGAGATAAAATCATTTCATACAAATATTTAGGAAAATCTTTGAATATTCTTAATAATTGTTACAATTCTAACCAGCTACTTATTGCTGAAGGCTTTGGCCACATAATATTTAAGAAAGGGAACGTATAAAAAAGTCTGACAATGAGAAAGAAAGGACAAATGATCTTTTAGACACAATATCTAAAATATCTCTGATCACCAAACCTCGATAACAAACAGTAAACAGTCCATTCTCCTCATTTTCAACAAAATAATATCCATATATTTTTCTCTCTCTATGTAATCTCTAATATTAATGGTCACCTTCTACTACGGGTAGGGCAAATTCAGAGTCTTGCGGACCAATCTCTCAGCTATCCTGTTGAACTGGTCCCTATCATCTCGCCACATCTTTGCTGCATCCACATTCGCACTGCTTTCATCATTGGGTTCTGGCCAAAGGGGAAGGGGGAAGATGTCTCATAAGTTTATAAAATGGACTTGAAGGATCAATGGCTTATCATTGGATCTTCGTACTCTGAAGGAGATCCTTTCGGTTGGACAAGCTTGGATGTGAAATTTCAGTTATGCTACCATCATGGATTTAATGTGATATGTATATTTCAAATATAGAAAAAAAAAAACAATGATCTAAAATGAATGGCAATCTGAAATTCAAAGATCTGTAATTTGAAGGAATATACTGAATATAAATTTGGCAATATACTGGTATAATTCCTTCTCATAATGTCCTATCAAACTGTTTGTAAATATCAGTATCAGCATTAATAGATTCAAAGTTTAACAGTGCCATTGTTTTTCCAGAATTAAAACAACTGATAAAATCTCCCTAACTCTAATCTAGAACTACTTTATATTAAAACTCAACAACTATTTCTGGTCATGATAGTGAAATATAACCTTTTGTAGATGTGATCAACAAGAAGGAAGAAAGACATGTTTGCTGGAAATCACAAGAAAAAAAATATGTGAGTCATGTCCGTCTTTAGACCGTCATACCTGATAACAGAAACCACTATAACACTAGAAAAGCAATCAGACCCTAGCTGATAGTTTTTATCTACTCTCATGACTGTACCTGACCCCTAAATACCCAATGCTATATTTTGAGCCCCTACTGACAACTCCAGCAGTTTTCCAATTTTCACAAAGAGCACATTTGTGTGTGTGTGTGGTGTGTGTGTGTGTGTGGTGTGTGTGTGTGTGTGTGTGTGTGTGTGTGTGTGTGTGTGTGTGTTGTGTGTGTGTGTGTGTGTGTGTGTGCGTGTGCGTGTGCGTGTGCGTGTGCGTGTGCGTGTGCGTGTGCGTGTGCGTGTGCGTGTGCGTGTGCGTGTGCGTGTGCGTGTGCGTGTGCGTGTGTGTCCTTTAGAGTACTACTTTACACTTCTAATGTCATTTTTTTCTGATTCAGGGCCCAAAAATTATGAAAAAATAGACAATACACCCCTCTACCCACCTCTTTTTATTTTTCAAAGCCTAGTACTTTTGATCAGATGGGTGTAAATGGGCATGATCTTTTAAAACCAGACGATGTGATTCTCATGGTGATGTCAAATATTTACTGACCACTGAATAAACAAAATGGCATAAGCTCTGCAGGCATAATGCATGTGGAGGCCAATGGAGACAAAAACAGTTTTTTTACTGAGATTAGGAAGGGCTTTTAAGATGATCGATCACCAGTATTCAAGAAAAAGAAAAAAAAGATGGATGGTCATTATGTACTCTTTGTGATTTTCTATATGCCAAATACTCACTGAATACTTAACATGGAGCTCAAACCAAATCAGCACATCATAAACATTTTTTTTTTTTTTTTTTTTTCTTTTGTACATTTTCTGTAATCCCTCCTCTATTGATGCCACTTGGCTGATATGCTGTACTTTAAATTGTCATCAATAGATACAACTCGCTTATTTACAATAAAAACCATTTTACAATATTTCAGATCAAAATTTCTTTTTCTTAAAACAGTGGGAAGAAGTACTTCTTCCAATTATTTATGATACCACCAGAGAGAAAAATAAGAAAAAGAAACTAGTACAACGGATACAGCCTTTTTCATCAGCCCAAACCATCACCATCAAATCTAATGAACTGGTCCCTAAACCTAGGCAGTCCATTTATAAATCTCTATCACTATTCGTCTGTAACTTTTCACATAGCTAATCCTGAAGAATGGAAAAACACTCTACATGTTGATACTATGGTAGGAAAATCCACAATGCACAAATCAATTTCTTGAAATATGTGAGACAATAGTTTTGGAATCGTCCTTGATTCCATGCTTACAAGCATGCTACCCAACAAATATAAATAAATTACCAGACTATATATATAATCCTCATCAGCAGAGAAAACTAATAACTAAACAATAATGCATGAGGAAGGCCACCTATCCATTAACATTATAAGAACGGAATTCAACTCGTCTTTATCATTTAATAAAACTCTTACATCTGAATCCTAGTTCTATCTATACTCATAAAGATAGAGAAGAGGACATATTATGTGGCATAGTTGTGTTATTTAACAAACAAATATCATATTATATTTCCCCTAGAATAAAGAAGCTGTTGCCTAAACCCAAATTTTCAGTAAAAAGATTCTTTCACACATGAAAAAAGAAAAAAGAAGAAAAAATATAAGTGGTTTTGAAAAAACGAAAATTATCAAATTATCTCACCTGCCAGCATGGATACAACGGAGAGCAGGATTTTCTCAACACTTTGCACTGGACTCCATCTCTCTGCACTGGATTCATAACCCATGGGATCATCACCAGGAGCATGAAGAATTGAGATACATACTCTGCCATCTGGGTAAACTGAGAGAGGAATAATGTGTAAAATTTCAAAATGTTTCCATGCATCACAGTAGTAATAACATATTCTTTTCTCATCTGATACATCTTCACAGTAAATATATTATTTCTTAAATTAGATAGGAAAGCATAAATGAAATAATTTAAATGCCAACTAGTACAGATAACCAACAACACTTACTATTTGGGTGAAACATCTCACAAGTAAACTGCATCTTGGGAGGAGATAGTGGGTAGTCAGGAGGAAAGATCAGTTTGGCTGGAAACACTCCACATTCGAAGCATGTTCCCTCGGGACCCCTGTGATTGAACAAAAGGTACTTATAACTTTTTTCCTTTTCATACTATAAGCTTTCTATAAAGCTGTATCATTAACACAATGGCAACCCCTTCAGTTCTGTAATCTTAGTTTGTTCTACAGTGCACTTGCAGTAATGACAAGATTATCTAGTCGTTCTTTTTATGTATCTAAACTAAAGCATAAAACCAGGCATACCCATTGTGACATTTATGTACTTCTGGGATACTTATTTCTATTTTAGAAAATTTTTGCTAAAGACTTCAAAACCTAAAGAAGACAATAAGCCTAATACTATCCACTATCTAATAAATGCATATCTGTATTGATTAATGGTAAAATACAGTTAACCAGTGTGTATGACCTCAAATTTTGAACTTGAAGGTAAATAAAGGCTGACAAAGAAAATAAAAATGTTTAAGAATCTACTAAACTGATGTCCAATTAAATAGAAACCATATAATGACATGTATAATTCATTAACAATAATATGAAAAGGAAATTAAACAGTACACTGGCCTAAAATTGGAGTCACTGGGCACAAATGAAAGCATGGCACTTAAAAGTACCATTTCATACCTCATATACATAGGTTATTCTTGACTGTTTAACTTCAAAACAGTGATAGTATAAAACTATGCTATAGAGCAAAATTTACATCAATTTCTAAAATGAAATACGAATCTTGCTACAATACTTAAATGAGCTGATCTTACACCAGCAACTCCAAAATGTTCTCACGACAGAGTAACATTCTACAATGAACACAAAACATTTTCATAAAGCATAATCAATTATTGCTCACATTCTTGAGCCCACTCTGAAAAATAAAGAAACATAAATAGTAGTTTAAAATAATAATGAAGAACAAAATACCCTTGATACCTACATGATAAGTGCTTCCCATTCAAAAAAGTTTTCTTCATTTGTAGGACCTGCAATAATGCCTTCTGGTGGATTTAGTGTCAACTCTGAAATCACACAATTAACAGAGGTGATCAATACCAACTAATCTCAGCTTTTTAATGTTCTAATGAAAAGCATTTATCACAAAATATATTAATTATCATGAAATGTCAAGTGGATACTACACGAGGAATATTATATGGCTCAATAGCAACCAACAAAACACATAGTTATCTTCATTAAGTTATTTCAACATTCAGAAATCACTGTAGCTGCAATATCTAATTAGCAAGAAATCACTATCATAACAAAAATGTTAGCAATAATGAACTAACATATGGTACCATTTTCTGCTCTCCTAAATTTTTCATTCGCAATTACCAGTTAAGAAATTTAACCCTTGTAATCTTCGTAACAAAATATAGAACCTCCCAAAGCGATAAACAAACATAAATCCACACAACGAAAAAAAAAATCCAGTATAGTGGTGGATACTAAACGTTGATCATTCCTAATCCTGTTTTGAATGAGATTAAAAAAAAAAAAAAACTATATTCTTCGTCTTACAAACACATCATAGAACATACGTTTATATTCAGTCATCAGTCTCTTGAGTGCTCTCCCGGCCATGATGGAGAAGAAGAAAAAAGAAGAAATCAGGGTGGAAGACTCTTTGTTTACAAGGGGATTGTTTACATCTGTCAGCTGATCCGCTTCTCATCCGACACTGTTTTCTTGAGTTTATGCTTTCATTTGATGTCTTGATTTGTATATATGTATGATATGAATATACAGTATGTATCTACAGATGAATGCATAAAGTGATAGATATAGTGGGAGACAGATAGATATATAGATGGATGGATGAAATAGTTCGTCTCGCCTTGAATACCTTTTTCATGAAATTTTCAGTCCAAATCAAATTAGAAAGTTATAATGCTCTATCACTAATTTAGCATAATTACCCTAATTGCGAGCTACGAATATCTTGAATAAACCAAAGAAATAAAGTATTTATAAATCTAACATCAAAGTCTCATATGTGTTGGTTCCACAACTCAAGTGTCCCCGCGGTTCAATTGTCGTACAAACTTTCCTCCAATTTTTCTTGTATTTTCCACTATTTAATTGACTAAAATGCCGCGCCGACGGATCGTAGAGGTAATTTCAGTGTTGTTTCGTGTCTTCTGTAGCTATTTGGTGCCTTTTCTTAAGGTCTGATTGGTTCAAACGTCAATGACAGCGATGTAAATAATATAGGTAGAGTTCGGGAGTTACGTAAAAGATGAATTTTTCTGTCACACGAAATTAGTGTCAGTAATGCTGTGTTCGGAACTGCTGCAGGACAAGTTGGCCGCGGCCGTAATCTCCAAGACCCTTTCTGCCTAGAATGCAGCAGGCTAGAATGTAAACATTCACTTTTTATCATACCGGTGTCTTTATGTTATACGCTGCATAGGTTCTGTAACTCCTTTGATGCATATTTAACTTACCTGTAACTTACAAGCACAAAAATATCCGTTGATAACACCAATAAAGGGTCATAAAATTGCCCTTGTGGTTACCTGCAACTGTCAGTGTTTACATACAAAAGCTATTTGTGACATCATCTCATCCTGCTCGCCCAGCTTTGCAGGAAGGAGGAGATGGTCGAGATAGTAGAGGTTCCGAATAGTCAAAACACCTCGTCCAACTGGTCTGGACGAGCAGGACGAACAGTTCCGAATGCAGCTTGATTTTATGGGAATGATCCGCCTAATGTATTGTAACAGTTTTGTTAATCAATGGATTATTCTCACTGTTTCATATATATAGTAATTAGCAAGATTCTTGGTGTGATAGCAGGGGGAGAGCATGATAGTTACAGGAAATTGCTTGGCAAAACCAAGCAATATAGTCAGTCACTAGATTGTCTAATGCAGAAGGCTGTGCCCCTGCAACACCCCCTCCCTCCCATTGGCGGCTATGACCTCCTAACACTGCAATTGAACACAAAGAATTCCTCTGCATATTCATAGCAGTAGAGAGCATATTACTGATGCAGGCACAGACCCTTAAATTAGATAATAAAGTAAGAGATTCAGTGTATATAATTTTTTATATATATGCCCCACAATTTCCCTGGTACTTTTAATGCCCTTGGATAAAGAATGTGGGGATTTGGGAGGTTTTCACAACAATATATTTGGATAGTAGAGAGTAAGAGGAATCCATCAATACCAAAATCATTGCAATCCAGTAGGCAGAACTATTCTGTAAAATTACCTTGGTATCTTAACAAATGCCCTTGCCTTTCTCGCTCAGGCAAAAATTAACAAGTCTCAGCCTTGTAAAATTGGAAAAATGAAGCTGATTTTCAAAATTGCCAATAAGTTGCAAGAGAGTTGACAAGCTGTTTAGCCAGAACATAACTGGTGGTGTGTTTGCCTTTACTTATACCCAGATGACAGCTTTGTAGGACTTACTTACATGAGAGTAAAGATTTGTAGATTTTAATAGGTGATCATGGCCATTACCTTTAGTTTTTGCAGATTATTGTTATAGTAATTAGTGTTTCTTGTATATTCTTTATGACTGCTACATTAACTTTACCTTATCTCTGTGTAGGCCTATTCTGACCATTTATCAGAGCAGCATATAATATTTCCATTTTTATTTAGAAAAGTTCTTTTAATGTTTTTATGACAGGAGTATGATACAATAGAATAGACTTGTCCAAAAAAATAATTATATATTTTACGTAAGTATTTGGAACTCATCCAGAGTTATGTTGCTGTCTTGATACCAGGCATTGCAGCCCCTATACCTCTTACCACAGAAGCAAATGCCAACAAACCTCTATCACACACTTGCTAGCAAGATAGGACTTGTACACCTCGCTGACAATTAATCATTAGAGAAGAATCAGTTTCAGCAAGTTAGACTAAAATGGTGAAGGAAAAGGCAGCAAGTTTTGGCATTATCATATTGGACCTTCATAAATCACTTTCACTTATTTCACTTGTAGCCAAATTGATAATATAAAACCTTAGGAAACCACTCTTTAAAAAACAGATTTTTTGAATGAAATCTTTTGGGATCTTTTTGGAGGTTTCCCTTCACTTTCCACCCTTTGCTTTCTGCTTTTTCAATGTCAGTGGAGAAAGTCCTCATACACATGTTGTATTCAGATACTTTCAATATGTTTGACACCTATGTATTCAGATATATTCACTTTCATGCCCGTTATTTTTTAGAAAATGTACAACCTAAATTGTTTGCAATTCAAGGACACATCATTTATTTGTGGCTGGTTTCCTATACTTTTTTTAGGATTCGCTCTTTCAACTGGAAATGATAAATTTACTGGTGTCAATTTATATATTTATAACATTGTGCATATATATTTGCATATATGTTATGAAAGAAAATTTATAAGGCTGTGAACATTTCAGGACAGCAGTGACGAGGAGCCGTCACAGAGCCAACCAGCATCACAGCTGTCACAGAGTCAGGGCGGTGGTGAGATCTCTGACCAGGACAAGAAAGTGCTTGCTGGCAATGTTTGCAACTACTTCTTGGTGTCTGATTGCAAAAAGGTAGTCTGAGGTTTTTAGTGGTAATGAGTGTTCTTTTTATTGTGTGGAAGCATTATTGATTTATTGGTTGCATAGTATGATTTGGCAGGTAAAGAGGATTTTTTTTTCCATGTTTAATATTGTTGTATATCCTCTCTTAGTAATAAGTTGTTTTTTAGGTCTTTAAGGAGATTACCAAGTCTAGATAATAGACATTTTTACAGGACCATAATTTTACAGAATCTCTTTTCAGATTCCAGCAAAAAAGATCAGATATTGTTTAAGTCTGTCCTAAAAGACCATGGTAGACATTTCAAAGAAGTAATGGCCGAAGCTAATCGAATAATGGAAAGGGTATGTTGATTTTATTATGAATTATGTGCTGTTATTACTATTATCAACATCTATGTTACGCATACACATAAATGGTGGTCATTTATATTCACATACAGTCTATGATTTTGTATATACATATAAACTGATTGATTTGTTTATATATTTTATTGTTTATTTACCAAAGACGTAATTTTTATCCCACTTCCTCACTCTCCCTTGTAAATGATCAGGTCTATGGGTACAAAGTAGTGGAGCTGGAGAAGAAGAATCAGTTCATCATGATTAACACCCTGATGATGAACAATCAAGATGATGACGACTTGCTGTTGGCTCCCACAAGCAATAGTGAAGTGGCCAACATCGGACTCGTAACAGCCATTCTTGCTGGAATTTTCATGTCGGGCCAAGTGATGCAGGAAGGTAATGCGCTTCTCTTTTCATGGCCTCTCCTAAAGCTGAGGCTGTTCCTTGGTCTTTTACTCCTTCTCTTCTCCCTTTTCTCCTCCTCTTCCTCCTTTTCCTCTGTTCATTTTCATTGATTCTCCTCCTCCCCTCCTCCCCCCCTCCTTCTTCTCCTTCTCCTTCTCCTTCTTTTTCTCCTTCTTCTTCTCCTCCTCCTTTTCTTCTCCTTCTCCTCCTCCTCCTCCTTTTTCTTCTTCTTTTCCTCCTCCTCTTCCTCCTCCTCCTCCTCCCACCCCTCCTCCTCCTCCTCCTCCTCCTCCACCCCCTCCTCCTCCTCCTCCTCCTCCTCCTCCTCCTCCTCCTCCACCCCCTCCTCTAATTCCTTCTCCTTTTCCACACACTCTGTTTCTCTTCTTCTTCTTCTTCTTCTCCTTCTTTTGCTTCTGCCCATCTGTCTACCTTTCAGAAATATGTGCAGCTCAGATGATGCAACTAAACAGACTGAGACTGATCTCCCTCATAGAGTGAGGTTGAGATCACGTGGTTACCCTGTGCATAATTCCTACTCATTAGTTTAAGTCTGATGTGCTGTGCATATATAAGAAGTTATCCTTTTTTAATTGATTGTTTATTTCTATCGTTACTGTTGATATTATTGTTGTTAATATTGTCGTATGTATTATCATTGTCATTGTTTTTGGTGATGGTGGTGTTAACACTATTATCATAAACCTTTATCACCACCACCACCACCATTGTTATTATTGTTATTATTATTATTATTATTATTATTATTATTGTTATTATTATAATTATTATTTTTATTGTTATCATCATCATTGTTAATATTATTGTAGTTATTTGTACCTCCTTTTTCAACAGAATCAACAGTAGTGGTAAGATTTTTTCTTTCATAAGATATTTTGTAGTTATTGTAACTGTGAGGACTACAGTGCCCTTTCATTCCAGGGCCAATGCGGGAGTATTTGAAAAAACTCGGCATTGATATTGAACTCCCGAGAAGAGCACCCTACCTTTGGCAACGTCACAAGATATATTCATCAAGTATGTGGCAAAATTTAGCATCACTTTGTTTCCCCATGATTATTTTCTTTTATTTTTGTTCTTGTCTTTATTTCTTTTCTCCTCTTGTCTTGTTTTTTGCCTTCTATTTTAATCTTTTTGTTTTTCTTTTCTTTTTCTTATCATCACCACATTAACAGTCTTTATCTTGATCATCATCATCATCATCATCATCATCATCATCATCATCATCATCATCATCATCATCCTCTTCCTCTTCATTTGCATCTTCTGCATTATCTTCTTTATCTTCACCTTCTTCTTCATCTACTTCATCATCATCATCATCTTTTCCTTCCTTTCTCTTCCTCTCCTCTCCTCTCCTCTCCTCTCCTCTCCTCTCCTCTCCTCTCCTCCTCCCTCCCCTCTCATCTCCCTCTCACTTAACCCACTAATTGACTCCTTGGTAATTAAGTTCTTATGAAGGCATTTTATGAAACAAATCTACATTATTTATTCCTATCAGTAGTGGGTTAATAACCTTTTTCTCATTTAACCTGAGAACTTTAAGTTATGAAATCTGCCCATCTTTATGGTACTCAAATTAAAAAGAAAAAAGCAGTTTCAAACCCATTCATGCATGGGAATTTGGTACGTGACTGAACTCCTAACATTAAATTCTGTATGCATCTGTCACTGAAGCCAAGAGTAAATGCTGTGTGTAAGAGTTATTTAGGTATCAGCTGGATTTTCCTAACTCTCAGCCTTTTATTTCCAATTAGAAAATATATTATTAAACCCATCAGCGATGGGTAAAATTTGTCAAGTTTACGCATGCACCGGCTTGTTGGCGCGCACTGGCAGTTTCCCCTGTTTGCGCGCGGCTCGATCGGTAGTTTGCGAGGGACATATAGCACCTAAAAGCTTTTATTTTGCTAAAATTTATAAAAATATTAAAATTTTGAAGGTTTACGGTTACACCATATAAATGAAGCCGCTACTAGTTGGAGAAAAACAACCTCCGTCCGACGAGCCAATAGCGCGGGAATGGGCATGGCATGAATGCCCCCGTTTGGTCCACAACAGCCATGGCATGTACATACGTGACACCTGGCGCCAATGGGTTAATAACAAGAATGATCTCCTCAGGACCTTGTAAGACAGCAGTACCTCCAGATCACCCTGAACAAAGATGTGGAACCTCCCTCCAATGAATACCGCTGGGGGAACGAGCACACAAAGATTGAGCAAGAAGGATATTCTTGAGTTGGTTTGCAAGGTGCGTTTAAACTTGATCTCTTGTTAATTGGGGAGTATGTTTGATATATTCCTTGGTATTGATTATTTGGTAGCCAGCAGGGATGTGATATTTAGTGAATGTAGATTTTGTGACACTTAA